AGTAGAGACGGGGGTCTCGCTCTTGCTCAGGCTGGTTTCGAACTCCTGAGCTCAAACAATCCGCCCGCCTCGGCCTCCCAGAGAGCTAGGATTACATGCGTGAGCCACCGCGCCTGACCTGCCCCCACCTTCTTTCACGGAGAGTTTGAAAATTCCCGCGGAGCCGGCGCCCGAGCCCGGAACTCTCGCGAGAACTCAGGTTCCCGAAGCCGTGATCTCCCTTCCTTCTCTCCTCCCTCTCCGCCCTCTCCCCTCCCCTCCGGGGCGTGTGGGACTCGGTCTGTCTGCTCAGGGTAATACGCATAGCAGAGACGGCGCTGTCCGAGGGAAGCAGGCATAGTTGCAAGGGGGAGGACCCAGTACCGCGGCGGGGGCAGCGGCTGCATTTTAACCGCTGAGCGGTCTGCAGCCGGCGAAGACGTTCTCGAGGGTGCGCGGGGGTGTGGATCCGAGGCGGCCCGGGAGGTTGCGGGCGGAGGCCGGCGAGCAGAGAAGAGGCTTCAGCGGGGCGGAGGCGGGGTGAACCCAGCCTGTGGCGGCCGTGTCTCCGAGGAGATGCTGTGACGGACCCGCGCGGGAGGAGCTCGTGCCTCGCTTCGCGCCCCACTGGACTCGGCCCGCGGCGGCGCCGTCACCCGCCCTTCTCAGGTAGGGGGAAGGGAAGGAAGGCAGTTGGGCCCGCGCCGCCGAGGGCAGGTCGGCCTGGGCCGCGAGCGGCGGCCCGGCTTCTCCCGCCGGGCCTCGCGCGCCGGGCCCTCCCCGCGCGGGGCCTAGGCCGGCCGTTTGGCTGCCAAGGGAACCGCGGCCGCCGGGCTAGCGGATCGGGCTAGAGGGGGCGAGCGCGGGCGGCAGCGGGCACGGCACGCTCCGGGGGTCCGGGGGAACGTTATGTAACCTCGTTCGCGTCGGAGCGCCTGCACATGGCGAGGGAGAAGCGCGCCGGCGCTCACCTCCTGAGCGGGGAGCCCTGGGCGGACCTGGACCTCGACTCTTCCCCTTTGGTGTTCAGCGATGCGGTTGAAAGCTTCGAGGGCCTTTCCCTGGGGCGCACGGCTGGAGCTCTGAGCCCATCTTGCGTTATTATGTGTTCCACATGCTCCTGGGCCTGGCCGGGGTGAGTCCAAGGCGGGGAAGTTTGACGCGTGATTAGAAATGTGCGGCACAATTTCAGTGAATGGGTCAGATAAAGGAGATTTAAAATAACATCTTGGAGTGAGGATTTATTTGCCTTATTTGTACCCACCTGGGAAGTTGAGGATAATTACTTTTGCCACGGTTGACTTTTTTTTTTTTTTGAGGGATAGGTTAATTTTGTTGTCAAAGCCAACGAGGTTCAGACTGGCTGCGTATAGTTAGATGAGCACAATTTTTATTTTGATAAATAATAAGTTGGAGACGTTTTTTGAAGAACCAGGTTCTTTAGAACAAAACATAGGTCTTTTGGAAACTCTAAACTTCACTTTATCCAGAATATCCTAAAGAACTTATGGATTATAAGAACCGTCTTTTGTGAGCTTCACTGATACGTTCTGTGAGGAGAGAAGAAAATAGGGCGGGTTTACTTATTTCGAGGATTTGACCAAGGATGGCAAGCTCAGTTAAATTTAATACTTTTAAGGGACGCTTTAAGTGTACTACGTGCTATGGGAAGCCTACATTCTCTCTGTACTGTGATTTTTCAATAACGTAGTACCAAAGTGTCACCAATTCACAAACAACAATAACTAATTTTTTTTTAATGTGAAAGATTGTTATACAGCAATTTTGGGAAAGACATCACGATTTAAGGAAATAAAACATTGTTTCTTTCGCTTCCAATCATGAACACTTTCAGGGACTCCTCGTTTTTTTTGTTGGTTTGTTTTTTCTTTTCTTTATCAATGAAGTATTATTTCTCTAGGTTAGCTCAAAGATCTCTACAATAAGTCTATTCTGCCTAGCCTCATCTGTTCACAAATTTTATGCTTCAGCTATTCCAGAATCATTACCAATCCTTGGCCCATTCTGTTGAAGAAATGTTGCACTTTGATGTTTCTTTGCTCATGTTCTTAAGCTCCGATGCTATCTCACCTTTTTCAAATTCTCAAATTTCACATCCTTCTAAATGCCGTCTTTTCTCTGTACTCCTTCACGTCCCTTTATCCCACTTCTTCCCTGAGCTCTCATAGTATATGTACCTGTATTGTATAATTTATTCTTTGTGTCTGATAGTCTAATGATTGATTATGTATCTCTTCAAGATTGTAAATTCCTTGAGGTCAGGAAGTAGGTCATGTTTCTGCCCTTGCATTCCTTTCCCAACACTGTGTTTTAGAAGTATTTAATTGGCGATTAATAAATGTTTGAATTAAGTTTGAAAGAACACTGCTAAAAGGCTGGAAGTTTCTGAGTCCCTTGGTAGTTTACATTTAAATAATGATTCTCAGTCTTTTTATTAGTCAAAAAGAAAAAAGTAAAATTGCATACGAAATGTTTACTCAGTACATGTTGCAATATAATTATTGAACAATTAGATTAGAGTTCTGTTTTCTGTGGTGGAATTCATTTACTTTGGAAATGTGTGTAATTCACACAGAAAACTGATTTATAGTATTCTGTTTTAATATCTGCCCTAGTGATTTTTTGAATTTTGTTTTACTTATTACTGAGACAGTGTATATTTAAAAATAAGTTGGGCCCAATACTGAGTTTTTAAAAATTTACTTAATGTTTAACATCTGTATTCCATGTCCCTGTTAGTATCCTATAATACAGTATCCTATCTTAATTTATCGCATGTTTAGAATCTATTAGTTACAAGACATTGTGAACTTGTGGAATGACCAGAAATAAGATTTGATGATTTTTGGCTTTTTGAAATGCATAGTGTAGTAGAGAAGACAGACAAACACGCGTCATTATTTTTTAAAAATCTTGTTTAAGATTGGTTACGCAAAGGTGAAAAGTAGTGAGCTTGGAGATGCGATTACACACCAGGAAGTTAGTCCTTGAATATGGGTGGGACTTTGGCTGATGGATGAGGGAACAGCATAAATAAAAGAATGAAAATGCTAGGCAATGGCAAGTTGGTGAAGAAAGGGATTTGAAGAGACAAAACTGTAAAGGTAGCCTGGGCCTGTCAGATTGTGGAGGACTTTGATTGCCTGTGCTTAACGTGTCAATATGTAGCAGGGAGTTATTGAAAGTTTTTGAGGAGAGGAGTGACCTAATCCATCTGTGCTTTATCCAGAAGATGAACAATATTTTCATTTACAGCTAGTAGAATGTTCCTGCTCTGCCTATCTAGACCTTGGAAAGGAGTTGAAACTTTGTAAATTACTTTTTAGAGGTTGCCAATGCTAGCATATTATAAAAGGCTGGGACTCTACTTAATTTTGTATAATATTGAACATAGATGCTTAATGTGTGTTTGTTTTATATGTCTTCATATGAGCTATTCTTTTAATGTAGTTGTTAGAAGTTCTTTTCAGTGTGCTTAAATTTGAATTTTTTTGTCCTATAGATTCAAAGGCTAACTTCTAAATTTGAAAACCTTTTTTCATTCCCTGAACACTTTTTTAAACCTCTTTGTGCCAGGCACTAAAGTTTGGAGAGATAAGTACTGTTCTTTTCTAGAAGGTTGGGTGTAGAAGGAAGGAAGAATATAGAAAGAAGTACAAGATTACAGGTACTAGTAAGTGGTAGAACTTGGAGTCAACACCATTTCTAATTCAAAGTTTGTGCCCTTTCTAGTACTCTGGATGGAACCTGTGATTATTGTACAACTTGGTATTTCTTAGACACTGAGGGCTTTGAGAAATTTTTTTGCTCCTTAAAATAGGCATTGGTATATTATGGAAGTTTGAGAACACTGCTCTAATTCCAGTGGAACTAAAGGAGCAAATTTCTTTGGCTGAGTAGAAGTCAAATCCGTTTAAATTGCGGGACCCAGAAGTGAATTAAAATTGTTCTCCTAATCCTAAGAAACAATTTAATAAAAGGAGGAGGTGACATGAAGCTAGGGGAATGGGAACAGTTAGGAGCAGTGTACACGGAGGGTAGAGTGGAAGATATGGATTCAGCATTTTTGTGTGTCTAGCAATTTTAGGATATAGTAAGCATTTTAGTGTTGGTTGAATGAATTCAGAAATAGACTCAGAATGATAAACTCCTTATCCCTTGAATGTGGGGGGCAAGAGAAGGGGATGATTAAGAAAGCTGAGCAGCTTAAGAAGTCCAGTCTAGTTACCTTCTTTAATTTCTGAGTTTCTAAGGATGGCACTTGATACACTGTTATATTGTTAACCTTTTGGGAAATATCTGGGCCATAGGCCAGACGATAGGGGTGCTTGGAACTTTTAAGATTTTAAAACATAAAAATTGGTTTAGCCCATGGTGCATACAGATCTGAGTTCTATTTATGATGGATTAATGCAATAAATATTTACTTGTGAATTTATTTTGACATAATGTACCAAAGAATACCTACACACTGGTAAATTCAGAATTACAGATGTTTCAGAAAACATTCTAGTCCTTTTAGTTTTTATTAACTATGGGTTTATAGAAATTCAATTTTAAGTCCTCCCCTCCCCACTTTGTTTCTCATTTATGATTAAAAGTTCTCATATCTTGGGATTTGATGAACAAGTCAAAGTGCCATCTCCCACCCTCTAACTTAGGTTATGTTTTTTCCCTTGATTTTTTCTTTCTAGACCATTGTTCCTCCTCTCCCTGTGCCTCCAAAAAATTTTTATTTCCATTTATCAGTTTTTATCTCTAATAGCATTTATATTTTGGGGGATAGATGCTGAAGCAAGTTTTTCCTCAAAAAGTGCGTGCAGCGTGGTGTGCTATACTTCTCAGAATGGTGGCACCAATGATAGAAAAAGGAGGTGAAGTACCCGAAACAACAAGACAGGCATGGTGTCTGTCCTACCTGAAGATTTTAGTCTGATTAATGCCTGGTACATAGGCATCATCTTCATAGATTATAACTCCCCTTTTTTGTGGTGGAGGGGACTCTTTCATCCATCTATAATTTTCTATTTCTGTATCATATTGAGGAAGATATTTATTTTGTTTTTCAGAAGGGGTAGCTAAATTGTCTCAGGATATTATTAAAAGTTTGTAATTTTCACAGTGATTTGAACTGTTTATCTTTGTTGTAAGTAAAATAGTTCAGTTTCTGGTCCCTTGCTTTTGTTGATCTGTTTCTCTATGCCAATACAGTATTATTTTAATCTTCTCAAAAAATCAGCTATTGATTTCATTGACTTTTTTCCCTCTTTTTTTTTTTTTCTGTTTTCTATTTCAACTGTATTCCTTTCGCTCATGTTGGATTTCATTTGCTCTTCTTTTTGTAGTTTTTTAAGGTGGAACCTTAGGTTATTGATATGAGATCTTATAGGTGTTTCATGCTATAAATTTCTTTCTAAGCACTGCTTTAGCTGCATCTCACAAATTTTGATATGCCATTTTAATTCAGTTCAAAGTACTTTCTCATTTCCTTTTTATTTTTGATCTGTGGGTCATTTAGAAGTGTATTGTTTAGTGTCCAAATTCTTAGAAATTTTCCAGGTGTTTTTCTGTTACTGATCATACAAATCATACATACTTTGAATTAGATAGTAATGACAGTAATGTTCTTTGCTCTGAATTCTACTTTGATATAATAGTATATAACAGAATAATAATATAAGCTGCTCCAGCTTTTTAAATTTTGTTAGCATAGTATATCTTCCATTATTTTACTTCCAACCTGTCTAGTGTTTTTATTTAAACTGGGTCTTGCTTTTTTATCCAGTCTGACAGCCTCTGCTTTTTAATTGGAATGTTTAGATAATTTAACATGATAATTAATGTAATATTGGATTTAAATCTATCATCTTCCTGTTTGTTATTTGTTCCATTTCTTTTCCTCTTTTGGGAGGCCAACTTTCGGATTAACCTTTCTTTGTGATGGTATTCGGTCTCTTTCATTAGCTCCATGTGTTGTATGTGTGTGTTTCTAGTACGAATCTTTAAATTATTATACCCTTATCTTCAAATAATATGGCATTTCACATATAGTAGAAGAACCTTGTAACAATGTCTTTCCATTTCCCCTCTCTAGGCCTTTGTGCTACTGTCATGCATTTTATTTGTAAGTATGTTGTAAACTCCTCAATGTATTGCTATCATTTTTGCTTCAAGTAGACAGTTTGTCTTTTAAAGAGATTAAAAATCGTAAAGAAAGTTTTTTTGTATTTACTCACATATTTCCCATTTGAGGTGGTCCTTATTTTACGTAGATCTAGATTTTCATCTGGTATAATTTACCTTCTTCCCGAAGAATTTCCTTTAATATTCTTTGTAGTGCAGCTCTGCTGGTGATTGTCTTTTCGGCTTTTGTATGTCTGAAAAATCTTTATTTTGCCTTCATTGTTAAAAGATATTTTCACTGTAGATAGAATATTAGGTTGACAGTTTTTTTTTTTCTCTTTCAGAACTTTAAAGATACTGTTCCACTGTCTTCTGGCTTACATTATTGTCAGTGAGAAGTCTCCTGACATTCTTATTTTCATTCTATGCTTTGTGCCTTTTTTCCCTGGTTACTTTTAAGATTTTCTCTTTGTCTCTTGATTATGATGTGTCTTGGTGAAGTTTCTTCATGTTTCTTGTGCTTGAGGTTTATTGTGCTTTTAGATTTGTAGATTTATAGTTTTCATCAAATTTGGGAAACTTTCGGCCATTAGGATTTTCAAATATTAGATCATTAGTTTTTCTGTCCCTCTCTTTTTTGGAGGCTCCAGTTACACATATTAGGTCACTTGAGGTTATCCCATAGAACTGATGCTTTGTTCTCCAGTCCTTGCCCCCAGAGTCTTTTTTTTCTTCTGTGCTTCATTTTAGTTTCTATTATGGGTCCTCAAGTTCACTAGCCACCTAATATTATCTGTAGAAATTTGCTTTAGTCTTTTTATTTCTTCCAAATCTTTTCTTAACATGGTTATGCTTTCCTCGGCCTTCTTGAACTTAGGGCTTTTAGCTAAAATAACAGATCTAATATCCTTATATAGTAATTCTAACTTTTGTGCCATTTCTAGATCTATTTCTAATGATGGATTTTTTTCCATATTGTGATACATATTTTCCTGCCTCTTTGCATGCCTGACAGTTTTTGATTGGATGCCAGACATTGTGAATTTTTTTTTCTCAGACTCAGAGCCATAGTTGTCAAAGTGGATGGCTTTATTACTTCCCATCCTGCACAATGGGTGTTTCTCTTGCTTACCTTTATTTAGGCTGATGATATATAACCGTCTGGAAATGAATGAGAGTGAAGGGAGGCTCTTATTAGTTCTGTTAACCCTAGGCTTTATTATCTTCTGTGGATTTCAGAGTGCCCAAAACAAGATCAGGGTCACCAGGATTGGATTTGATAGCTAACCCTCAAGACCAAAGCCAGCTTACATGTCTCCTAGAAGTCCTACCTTCTTAATCACTTTTGGTTTTGCCAACTCAATAATTGAGAAAGATACTTTTGTATTTTGACCAACATTTTTGGTTGTTAACAATAGAAGGGGTCATTCAGGGAATCCAGTCTTTTATATATTAGAACTGAAAGAAATTTTTAGATTTTTTTTTTCTATCCAGTGAAAGACATTATACCACACTCAATTTCTGAGGTTTCTGTGGATTTGGACATTTTTCATGGACTTCTCTCCCCTTTTATTGAAGAAATAATTTTTCTAAAATATATCAGTTTTTCCTTTTTAGGGGAGTAAAATATTCTTTGGAAGTAGGTTAGACCATAAGACGAATTGCACTGAACCAATTTTCAAAGATTATAGGAAATACTGTATATCCTTAAGACATCTGGCTTAATGAATCTTCACTTTCCTTAGGCTCGTTGGGAAATACTGTCTTAGGAGAGAATACCTCAGACCCAGGTGCACATAATATGTGTTTTATAACCAGATTTTAGTTTCATTTTATTTACTTTTATGTGGTGGCTTTTTCTTTCTTTTTTTCTGGCTGGTGATAAGCAAATGTGTTATAGTGCAAACATATAATAATGTTATCTTTTAAAAATATTTACAGTGGAAGTATGCGACACTTAATAGCTCAAGTGACTAGTGGTCTCCTGCAGTTCCCAGAAGTGACTATTCAAGCCCTTGGAGAAGACGAAATAACATTAGATTCTGTGGTTCGTGGGAAGTTTGCTGCAGGTAAAAATAATGTTGCTGGACATTTACTAATATGATTGATTTGTAAGATGAATAAGTATATATTGTAGTTCCTTTAATGTAGAAGAAGAAAAAGAAGAACCTTGGTAGAGTGGTCTTACATAACATCTATAATTACATGTTAGAAACTCTATAACACATTATCAGTGAATCTCTGATTGGGGGTTTATAGTTAAATTTTCCTTATTAAAAATCCCATGTATTTTGTATCTTTTAGTATTGAATATCAATACTTGGGAAATAGAAATAACGTACAACTGAGTTTTCTTTATAATCAGTAAGTTTTATTGGTGATGAGTTTGGATTAGTACCTAAACAATGTTATGAATAGAAAAATCTGATTGTAGGGCCCTGGGTGATATAAAAGTTTCAGAAAGTCTTATTTCCTAATACCATTCATCTGAATAAGATTTAAATATGTAGTTTAGATTGTGTAAGAGAGCAGAGAAGCATGCTATTAATAAAGAAGGCTTTCTATTATAGAATTCAGTCTAATGAAAAATATTACAGAAGGCTTTTCTGAAAATAAGTTTTATAGGCATCTTCCCAGCAGGAAGGCAGCAAAGCATATACATGTATCAGTCATTTAGCTATTTACAGTGCTATTCTCTTAAATGTTAAAAGTAGCAGTAGTACTTACTATGTTTCAGGTACTGTAATGACTTTTCATTGTGGTAAGTATAAAACTTTTCTAAACAGGCACTGTTCTGTGTAGCTGAGAATCAAATACATTAAGTAACTTGATTCCAATTACACAGATAGTGAGTGGCAGAAAGAAGCTTTGAACCCTGGCATTCTGGGTCTCCACTGTGCCATGCTACTTTCTTAAACTTTGTAGCTTCCCTCACCTATAAACTAGTATATCCAGCCATCTACTTGGATGCATAATGGGTATCTCAAATTTAGTAGTAAAAATTACCACCATTCATCTGGTTGCTCAAGCAAAAATTCAGGGTCTGCTCTTGATTCTTCTGTTTTACTTACCTCTCTATATCTAATTCATCAGCTAGCACATCCTGTTAGTGCTCCTTCTAAGATGAATCTCTAGTCAATCCACTTTTCTCTATCCACAGCCACCAACCAGGTATCATAGTCTCCCTACTTCTACCCCTTCGTTGTCCATTCTTTGCTTAGCAGCTGGAGTAACATTTGAAAACATAAATCAGATTGTCATTGACCTGCTTTAAACCTTCCAGTGACTTTACATTGTAGGCAGAGTGAAATCCAGGTATGAGTAGTAAGCTCAGAAGGCGTTCTGATATTTCCTATTTTTATGCTACTTGTGTCTTATCTTCTCAGTTGATTTGTGAACTCCTCAGGGATAGACTTACGTGTTATATTTTATAACTGCCATATCTCCTAGTTTAAATCTTTTAGGGTATGAATGATATAGTAGAAGTATGCTTTGGAGTTAGACTTGGGATCTACTTCTGGCTCTGTTACTTTGTAACTGTGACTTTGGGCAGATTAAACTCTATTACGTTTTAGCTGCCTCATTTCTATATTGATGTGATAAGGAATAAAAGATAATTATTTAAGCACATAGTGTGGTACCTTTACCAAATGATTACTTTATTATTGCAATAGTAGTTGCTCGATTTATTTTACTGATTTGAAGATCACGCTGTTCTATAAATGCTTAGATTTCAATTTGGGGATAATATGTAAAGTTTTATGTAATGAACAATATATTATATATTTATATGTAAAAGAGCTAACTGCTGCAGATTTTGTGTTCATACAATATTACAATAAGCAATATTTTTGCTTTTTTAATTTCTTCTAGGAAAAAATGGACTTGCCTGCTTGGCTTGTGGTCCACAACTTGAGGTAGTAAACTCTGTAACAGGAGAGCGGTTGTCTGCATATAGATTCAGTGGAGTAAATGACCAGCCTCCTATAATTCTAGCAGTGAAAGAATTCTCTTGGCAGAAGAGAACTGGATTGTTAATAGGATTGGAAGAAGCAGAAGGAAGTGTCCTCTGTCTTTATGACCTTGGTATATCAAGGGTGGTTAAAGCAGTTGTTCTTCCTGGAAGGGTAGGTATTATTTAAGTTATCTGGACATTCTACTTTCAAAACTGAACCCCCTGCTGGTTACACAGGTGGTTTACTTTGTGAAAATTCATTGAACTATACATTTATAATTAGTGTACTTTTATGTGAATGTATTGCTCTTCAATAAAAAGTTCAAAATGAAAAAGAAGTTAAAGATGATGATACATTATCCAAGGGACTTGACATTTAAAATGTAACTTTCTTTATTCTTAGAAAATTCCAAGGTAAAAATAGCAGTGACATCTAATGTTCTAATACTCTTTTGTGAAAAATACCATTTAAGTCTTGTTCTTATCTCCAGTTGTGTTCTATGAGGACACTCAAAGTTTATAAAAATGTACTCACTACTATGGAATTTTTAAGATGTTTTTCCTCTTTTAATTTGAGCCTATAGTCTTGGAGCTATATGCAAGACATGTCACTATTAAATATTTTTATATTTAAAAATATATTTAAGTAATGGGTTCATTTATAATCACCATTTATTAATTCTAATATATGTGTGCCTTCCATATGCCAGACATCTTATCTAATAGTAATCATAGAAGTACTTTGAATTCTGGTTGTTTCTTTAGCAGGTTCATTGCTGCTTTTCCATACATTATGAGAAAAAAGCATACGCTTACAAATACAGAATTGTAGAATAGAATACTTTCTTTACATGATGTGGAAAAGTATGCATGTACACACAAATATATGTATGTATGCTTTTTTGTAAGGTATATAATCGTAGAACAATAGAATTAAGCTATGTGCTAGATTCTGGGAATAAATAGATTAATTGAACTTGGTCCATGCTTTTAAAAAGCTTATAGTCTAGTGGGAGAAACTGACAAATAAGATTATAGCATATGGGCCGGGCGCGGTGGCTCACGCTTGTAATCCTAGCTCTCTGGGAGGCCGACGCGGGCGGATTGTTTGAGCTCAGGAGTTCGAAACCAGCCTGAGCAAGAGCAAGACCCTGTCTCTACTAAAAATACAAAGAAATTAATTGGACAACTAAAAATATATATAGAAAAAATTAGCCGGGCGTGGTGACGCATGCCTGTCGTCCTAGCTACTTGGGAGACTGAGGCAGGAGGATCGCTTGAGCTCAGGAGTTTGAGGTTGCTGTGAGCTAGGCTGACGCCACGGCACTCTAGCCCGGGCAACACAGTGAGACTCTGTCTCAAAAAAAAAAAAAAAAAAAAAAAAAGATTATAGCATATATATAATTAATACTTTGGTAAATTTAAGCACTTAGAACCTGGAGAACATCTGGATAATTTCTACTAAAAAGAATTGGACATTTTAGCTAAAAAGACCACAAAAAAGTAACAGTATATGGAGTATTTGGGAAACTTGACTTAGTTTAGAATGACTAGGGGGATGTGGTGGTCAGAAATGGTGATGATTCAGATTGCGAATGGTCTTGTTTGTAATTAGGGACCTTCTTTTAAAGTCTATGGTGAAGTAATTTTAAGTTTTAAGCAGAACTCCCATGTAAAAAGCTCCCTTAGATTGGGTTAGAGAGGGTATTGTGAGAATAGAAACAAAGAGACTGTTGTAGTTCAGGTAAATAATGATGAGGAAGTGAATCAAAGAGAAATGGAAATGATGGGACAGATTCAAATTATATTCGGAAGGGAACATGGTCAGGATTTGTTGATCATTTGAGTAACTGAGAAGAAACAAGTTTCCTGAACTGGTTGCTTCGTTGAGTGGATGGTTGGTATCATGGAATTGGCAATATAGAATAAGGAAAAGATTGGGGGAGTATTGATAGGTAATTTCAAAAGAAATTCAACCAACTAGCTATTTTTTTGACTGGAATACAGTATCCCCTCCTAAATACGTTTTTAACTGCCTTCTAAAATTAAGGTAACATTACCAATCACTTCATATAGTGTTTGTATGAGGAATGCAAACTGAGATAGACTTCCATACCCTGTACTGGGGAATTGAAGAGAATATGCTTTAGTATTCATAGACATTATTACAATAATTAAAAAGGAAAAAAGTCCATGAAGTTACAGCTTTCAGAATTAGAAACACTGTGTAATGTTTTGTGTACTGAGGATATAGAGAAAGAGCCATTCTTTTGTCTGTAATAATAAATTATAGCCTAAAAAAACCTTTTAACTTTATTAACATATAAGTCATTGATACGAAATTTCCTTTTTTCTTTCCAGGACATTCATTAGTACAGGTTGAGAATCCCTTATGGTCCCTGAAATGGACCCTTCTGGTCCCTGAAATGCTTGGGACCAGAAATGTTTCAGATTTTGGATTTTTGGATTTGGGATGCTCAGCCTGTGTTATAGTAGAAACCACCAAACATTTAATCATCATATATCATACCTAATCAATTTTTGTTAACTAATAAGAAACAGAAGGAAAGCTAAGTATAAGATAAAATATGGATGATTAGGTACATACATTTAAAATTTATCACATGAGATGAAGGAAAAAATATGACTCCATAAAGTAACTAAAGTAATCAAACTTTAAATAATTCAAATTCTTTTATCAGTGATCCACTCACTGCCAAAGCTCATGTGAAGTCCATTAGAGTATCATCCTTTTAAAGAAGGTTTGGCCTCTTCAGTCGTTAAGGCATAAATAGCACTTAAAACATCTTGGTGGTTTTTTTTTTTTTTTTGGAGACAGAGTTTCACTCTCTCACCCTGGGTAGAGTGTAATGGCATCACCATAGCTCACTGCAACCTCAAACTCCTGGGCTCAAGCAATCCTCCTGCCTCAGCCTCCTGAGTACCTGAGACCATAGGCATGTGCCATAACACTGGCTAATTATTTTTGTAGAGACGGGGTCTTGCTCTTGCTCAAGTTGGTCTCGAACTAAGCTCAAGCGATTCTCCTGCCTTGGCCTCCCAGAGTGCTAAGATTACAGACATGAGCCATGGTGCCCAGCCACAAACATCTTGTTTTTTGTTTCTTAAAGAGTAAACAGTAAAATTTTATGGAATGATTTATTTTTACTCTTAGGAGAAGCAGCTATATAATCCTAGAGTGGCTGGTTAAGAGCTTTAAAGTGAGAACAGTTGAGGTTTGAGTTTTACACTTAATAATTTTATGCCTTCTGTAATTCTTGGCTAACTTTCTAAGCTTCAGGTTGTTTCATCGTTATTTAATTGATTTATTTATTCTTTTCTTTTTTGGGGGGTGAGGGGGCACAGAGTCTCTGTTGCCCAGGCTAGAGTGTCGTGGCATCAGCCTAGCTCACAGCAACCTCAAACTCCTGGGCTCAAGCGATCCTTCTGCCTCAGCCTCCCGAGTAGCTGGGACTACAGGCATGCGCCACCATGCCCGGCTAATTTTTTCTATCTATTTTTAGTCGTCCAGCTAATTTCTTTCTATTTTTTTAGTAGAGACGGGGTCTCGCTCTTGCTCAGGCTGGTCTTGAACTCCTGAGCTCAAATGATCCACCCACCTCAGCCTCCCAGAGTGCTAGGATTACAGGCATGAGCTACGGTGCCCAGCCTATTTATTATTTTCTTGTAGAGACAGGGTCTCACTGTGTTCCCCAAGCTGGAGTGCAGTGGCCCAGTCATAGCTCACTAGAACCTCCAACCCCTGGGCTCAAGCAGTCCTCTCTCCTCAGCCTCCCAAGTAGCTAGGACTACAGGTGCACACCATCGTGCCCGGCTAATTTTTAAAAATTTTTGTAAAGACGAGATCTCACTATGTTTCCCAGGCTGGTCTCTACCTCCTAACCTCAAGTGATCCTTCCACCTTGGTATCCCACAGTGCTGGGATTATAGTCATGAGCCACCATACCTGGCTTTATTTCATCTTAAAATGGAGATAATTACATATAGTGAAATATTAAAGAGTTATTGTGAACATTAAATGAACCAATTAGCACAGTGCCTGGCACATAGTAGGCTATCAATAAGCATCAGTTATTATTCCAAATGCGTGATTTTATATGTATTGAGATAATGGTATAATTCTTAATATATTTTAAGATTTTATTCAGATTCTCAAGTATCAAATTTGAATTTGTGACTCTGTTTAATTATGTTTATATCTCTTATAATGGGAAACTTACTTTAACTTCAAAATTTGTTGTGTTGTTAGTTGTATTTTCTCATTTTGTAGAAGAAAAGCAAATCATACATTCTGCTTTCTAGGTAACAGCTATTGAACCTATAATTAATCATGGAGGAGCAAGTGCAAGCACTCAGCATTTACACCCAAGTCTGCGATGGTTTTTTGGTGTGGCAGCTGTGGTGACCGATGTTGGACAGATCCTTCTTATTGACCTATGTTTGGATGACTTGTCGTGTAGTCAGAATGAAGTGGAAGCATCAGGTGATTGGTAATTCTTTACTTGAAACCGTCAATGGAGCACCTGAATATTCTGATGCATTGTTTTTTAAAAGTAGTCTTTTTTTTTTTTTTTTAATATAGAATCTTCTTTATGTATCTTTGTTTCTTTTATTATCTGGACCTGGGCACTGTAGATAGATACTTCTTGCATGAGATACTCTATTTTGTTGATAAAGTGTTCATATGCTAAAGTAGGCCTTGAGAAAGGTAGTGATATCGATTTGTTTCCAATACTTGAATAAGATCTATTCATAAGTAAATGCCAGAACAAGCGCCAAATATAAAAAATTTTTATCTTTATAAGCCAGTTTAAAATTATCCAGCCATGTGGGTTTTAACATAGTGTTTTTTGCATATTGTTTACATTCTCGTGGTAGCCAAGATAGAAAAAAAGTATTTAATAATTTATTAAGAGATTACAGAGTAATTGAAAGCCTTTCCTCACAAAATAACATCCTAAAATACAACTAATGCTATTCAAATTTTTAAAAAACTGAAGAGAGATAATTTGTCCCCTTTAAATGCTTATATTTATTAATCTTTTTTCGAGTGCTTTCAGTTTTTTATAATTATGAGACTCTGATTGGTTTATGTAGAGAGGAAGAGCTAACCTACAAACTAAAAAATGTGACTTTTACTTCTAAGTTTTTAGTAAAGGATCATTTGACCTGAAAAAAGTTTTGACTTTGAGGACATTCTTGATGTTTAAGGAAAACCTAAAATATCGGTGTAGATTTTTTCATTTACAGATCAGCTAAGAAATAGATACAAACTATCTGCATTTTATCCGGTTTGAAATGAACATAACTAATAAAAATTGTCAGTACTGGCTGGGCATGTGGCTCATCCCTGTATTCCCAGCATTTTGGGAGGCTGAGGTGGGAGAATTGCTTGACACCAGAAGTTGAAGACCAGCCTTGGCAACATAGCAAAACCTCATCTCTACAGAAAATTAAAAATTAGTTGGTCATGGTGACATGCACCTGTAGTCCTAGCTACTTGGGAGACTGAGGCAGGAGAATCACCTGAGTGTAGGGATTTTGATTCTGAGGCTGCAGTGAGCTACGATCACACCATTGCACCCCAGCCTGGGTAGCCGAGCTCAACCCTGTTTCAGAAAAAATTATCAGTATATAATAAAACTGATTGATTAAAACTGCAACCTAGCAAGTACAGTGAACACTACTATTTGGGTGATGGGCACACTAATAACCCTGACTTAAGCATTATAAAAGCTATCCATGTAGCAAAAACATTTGCACACCGTTGATAGTTTGAAATTAAAAAAACTTGCAAGTGGTAAAAACTATATTTGACTAGAAGTGAAGAATGAAATCATCTGAACAAAATTTAAATATGCAAAATATGACCTGCATAAATTATATTTGGCAGAAATAATGACCATACATGTACTTTAAAAAATTCCTCATAGTGATAAAAGGGTATATCTTAAAATTTGATAATAAACCTGATTGATTAATAAAATTCTGAGTACAGTTTAAATGAAAAGAATTAGCAAAAACAATAACAAAATCATTTTGAATATTAGAAATGGCTCGACTGCTCTTTATAGGAAATTGATCAAAGAATTAAGTAGGCTTGATTGGCTTTTGTTTCAAAGTATGTTTTGTGGACATCATTATAGGTGTAAGGCTAATTAAAATGCTTGTATTCATAATGAAAACTCTCTTCAGATCAATATGGTAGAGTTTAAAACATCCTTTATTTTGGAAGTCATGTGCACAAGGATAATTTTAAAATGAAAGTCTCTGGATTGTGATCAGAACCAGTTCTCAATTTTGAGAATTCGAAAGCAATTGAATTTTATAGCACAAAAAATTAAGCTTTATGGTTTAATGCAAACCTTATTTTTTTGTTGACAAAAGTAATTTATGATTATAACTGTTCAGATTTCACTGAAATACACTAACACAGAAAATGAAGTTTAAACTTAACAGTTTTTCTTATTCATCTTTCCACATCAGTATATATAGAGTCTACCTTACTCTTTTGAATAAATTTATAATATTAATGTTTTATTTTGGCAAAATTTAATCACTTGCTGTTCTCCAAATAAGTAATTGGAAGCAGAAGGGATTCAAAGGGTAGCCATTCAAGTATAATATGATGTGATTTTTTTCCCCCTTCACAACGGGGGAATCTGCTTTTGCACAACTGTTAATACATGGGTCTGAATTTTATTCCTTTTATTAGAAATTTCAGACATCTTCAAGTAGATAGAAGAATATAAGAATTCCCACATACCTATCACCCAAATTCGGGTTAATTTTCAAGATTTACCACGTGTGTCTGTTTTCTTTCATTTTTCTATTTCTCCCTTTCCCTCTTTCTCTGTTAGTTTAAAGCAAATAGGGAGGCTAATTTACTACATAATCATAATGCCATTAATTCATAACATTAGTAATAGTACTTTGGTATAGACTAATATCCAATCCATAATCAAATTGTGACTATCTAAAACATCTTTTTACATTTGGATTGTTTGAATTGGAATTCAAACAAAATTCCCGCATTAATTACATTTTACAGTTATGTCTCAAGTCTCCTTGAATGTACAGCAATCCTCTGTCTATCCTCTCTGTTTTTATTTATTTATTTGTTTTTTAGTGCCACAGACTTGCTGAAGAAGTTAGTTATCTGGTAGAATGCCCCACATTTCGGAATTGTCTGGTTTCATGTGGTGTCATTCATATTTTCTGTTTTCTGCAAATGTAAGTTAGCTTTGATTATAAATTAAGGTTTACCATTTGGCAAGTTTACTTTGGAGGTGCTGGGAACTTCATGTTGTATCACATCAGGAGGCACAGGGTGACTAGTTGTTTCACAGTTAGTGATCGGTGAGTTCAGATGATGGCAGCAGGATCCTTCTGTTTTTAAAGTTTCTCATCAACTGTTAAACTAGTGGTTCTAAACCAGTGGTGAATTTTCTTCTTTAGGGGATGTTTGGCAATGGCAGAAGGCATTTTAGTTATTACTACTGAGGGAGATGGTGGTACTGGCTGATAGTAGTTAGAGACCAGGCATGCTGCTTAGCATCCCACAGTGTGCAGGATAATCCTACACAGGAAAGAATTATCTGACTCAAAATGTCAGTAGAGTAGTCCCCTTTTATCCTTGAGGGGTATGTTCCAAGACCCCTACTGGATGCCTGAAACCTCAGATAGTACGGCTGTGGTTTTTTTTCCTTATAAAGTCAGGAACTTTCACTTTTTTACTTAAAGGATGCACATTATGGCTTCTCTTTAGCATATCCAAATTGCCAGCTTCATTACTCTTGTCATTTGGGGCCATTATTAAGTCAAATAAAGGTTACTTGAACACAAGTACGGCAATACTGTGACAGTCAATCTGATAACTGAGATGGACACGAAATGACTAAGGGCAGATAACATATATAGCATATGTACACTGGACAAAGGGATGATTCATGTCCCACAGATAGTGGGAGATTTCATCACACTACTCAAAGGCACTTTAAAATTTATGAATTATTTCTGGAATTTTTCACTTAATATTTTGAATTGTGGTTGTCCACAGGTAAATGAAACTGGAAAGCAAAACTGCAAAGGGGAGGACTACTGTAGTGCCACGATTGAAAAACCTACTTTAATTGTTTCATTCATTGAGATTGTTACATGAACCTCTTACTTTATTAAGGGCTGCAAAATGGTGATTTTTAAATTCTGTCAGTCTGAAAAAGAACTTTCTCAATTACTAGGGCTATTTGGTTACCCTGAAATATAATATGTACAGAAAAGACTAAATAAATAAATATTTACTAAAAGAAATAATACTAATAGTTCTAACTTTCAGAGTAAGGTGATCCAAGTTACTTCCAGTGGTTCAGCATAAGGTCTTTTGTAGATGAAGAGGGTGAACGTCCCCCTTGGCACCCCACCTTTTTTTGAGTATCATGAGTTCATGAGGTTTAATGTATTTAGTGTGCTTCATTTATTTTCATTGGTTTTGATGCTCAAAATATCTTGTCTTTGCTAATGGGAGCCACTTCTTGTTGTCTGACACATTCCCTTTAGCCTTCAATAGCTTCCCAGATTACTGGCATAAAATGTACCAGGCTCATCTTTACATATTTTATTCCCGAGACCTGGAATCAGCCATTCCTCCAAGGAAAGTATTTAGGTTGTAGTTCTCAATTTCAATAAAGAAATAGCTTAATTTATAATTATTAAAGAAATTGTTTAACCCTTTAAAAGATTCTACTTTATATAATATTTGAGATGTACTGAATTTTTTAAAAAAATTACACAATTAAATTTATATTTTAAATGGTAGCATTTAAATAGATAAGGATGGCTATTTTCTAGTTCAGTGTACTTTGTTGTCGTTAATCTTTTTATATTTATTTATTTATTTATTTATTTTCGAGACAGAGTCTCACTCTGTTGTTGCCCTGGCTAGAGTGCCGTGGCCTCAGCCTGGTTCACAGCAACCTCAAACTCCTGGGCTTAAGCAATCCTTCTGCCTCAGCCTCCCAAGTAGCTGGGACTATAGGCATGCACCACCATGCCCAGCTAATTTTTTCTATATATATTTTTAGTTGTCCAGCTAATTTCTTTCTATTTTTAGTAGAGACGGGGTCTCACTCTTGTTCAGGCTGGTCTTGAACTCCTGACCTCGAGGGATCCTCCCACCTCAGCCTCCCAGAGTGCTAGGATTATAGGCCTGAGCCACTGCGCCTGGCCTAATCTTTTTATTTTAATTGACTGGTTGATTTTGTTTGGGACTTGAATAATTGATGACACATTTGCTTTTATGCCGTTCATAGTTTGTTAACTTTATTTGTCGAATTTTCGTTTTTAGATCTTGAAGTTATAACTGGTATCCCAGCTGAGGTACCACACATCAGAGAAAGTGTGATGAGAGAAGGACGCCATCTGTGTTTCCAGTTAGTAAGTCCATCAGGAACAGCTGTTTCAACTCTTAGTTACATAAACAGGACAAATCAGCTTGCTGTAGGTTTTTCTGATGGCTATCTAGCACTTTGGAACATGAAAAGTGTGAAAAGAGAGTAAGTGTACCTTTTTTCTCTTATTTGATTATTGGTGGTTTCTTTTTTAATATAGCCTGTACTCAGTTACTAATATTTGAAAATTAGCATGAGAAAAGAGTAGGGTGGATTAGTGATTGAATGGTTGAGTATGAATAATTTTTCATGGCATTAAATCATTTGATATGATGAAGGAATGACTTAGCACATGAATTTAGGTTGATTCTTTTCAGTGTTTATTTAAAAGACATTGCAGTTATTGTTTCATTTGCTATGACTCTATAAAGACAAACTGTATAGTCATGTGACATATAATAATGTTTCAGTCAGTGATAGACCACATAAATGAAGGTGGTCCCATAAGACTATTGGGTTGTTTTGGTTTTGGTTTTGGTTTTGGTTTTCGGTTTTTTGTTTTTTGTTTTTTGTTTTTTGTTTTTTGTTTTTTAAAGAGACGGGGTCTTGCTCTGTCGCCCAGGCTGGAGTATAGGGGCACAATCATAGTTCACTGCAGCCTTGAACTCTTGGGCTTCAAGTGATCCTCTGATCCTCCTAGCTCAGCCTCCCAAGTAGCCCTTAAGAGTATAATAACATGTTTTTACTATACTTTCTGTATGTTTAGATACTCAAATACTTAGCACTGTGTTACAGTTGCCTACAGTATTCAGTATAGTAACATGCTGTATAGTTTTGTAGCCTAAGAACAATAGGCTATACCATCACAGTTTGTATAAAGTATACTCTGTGGTATTCATACAACAACAAAATCACCTAATGATACATTTCTCAGAAGGGATCCCTGTCATTAAGTGACACATGAATATATTTGTATAGTATGAGTTCTTTCAGAAATACTCTATCCCATAATCATCTACGTAAAGTAGCAGTTTAATGAAGTTCTCAGTTGATGGGAAAACAGGACTTTTAAAAATCAAAGTTATGAAATACTTGTTTTAAAATTTTATGCTATCAAAAATCTCCCTAAAATATAATTATGTTAATACTTTTGATATATAGAGAAAATTGCCTTTAATATCAAGGCATATTAAAGCAATATTAGCAAATAGGCATTATAGATTTTTTTAGTTAATTTCTGTTAAGAATTAGGTTGCCCATTTGGCACTTAAGTTGTTGATTTATTTGTTTCTTCTTTTTTTCCCAGGTATATTGGTATATTTTCTTGAGTAATTTATTTTATGGGATGTTCATCACAACTCTCATTGCTGTTATTTTTTTATCAGCTCCTGTCTTTTGAATTTCTCCTAACGAAATACCTGAAGAACCTGGCTTCTATAGCAGTGTTTTCTCTAACACTGTCATGTCTTGACTAAATATGGGGATTTATAGAAACTGTTCAGTTTCTAACTCATCTTCTCTTTTATTAGTGGGAAAAATTGACTGTAAACCCAAGTGATGAAATGGAGTATTGTAATCTTTGTCTTTGTAGGATATCGCTCATGGGAGAGCAACACATGGTCGTGGACATTGATAAGACTCTCTAAGAACCAGTTTACACATACATATATATGCATGTACTTTAGCAATTCTAACTCTTCCTGGTTTCACCTGACAGATGGGTGCCATGGCCATAGTCTTGATTTTTTTTTTTTTTTTTGAGACAGAGTCTCACTCTTCTTGCCTAGGCTAGAGTGCTGTGGCGTCAGCCTAGCTCACAGCAACCTCAAACTCCTGGGCTCAAGCGATCCTGCTGCCTTAGCCTCCTAGGTAGCTGGGACTACAGGCACGCACCAGCATGCCTGGCTAATTTTTTCTGTTTTTAGTTGTTTGGCTAATTTCTTTCTATTTATAGTAGAGATGGGGGTCTCTCTCTTGCTCAGGCTGGTCTTGAACTCCTGAGCTCAAGCAGCCCTCCCACCTTGGCCTCCCAGAGTGCTAGGATTACAGGTGTGAGCCACCGCGCCCAGCCTTGATTCTTGATGTCTTATGTCCTGCATATTTTTGAAGATAAGGTGACTTGGCCATCACTTGATTTGGGAAATTGTATGGACAGTGGTTGCTTAACCCAAATTCTTACATGAGATACCTTCTTCCTTTCCAAAAAATTATAACTTACAAATACGAAATGTACTAATTTTTGTCTGTTTCAGATATTACACACAATTGGAAGGTGGAAGAGTTCCTGTATATGCTGTTACCTTTCAAGAACCTGAGAATGATCCTCGTAATTGCTGTTACTTGTGGGCTGTTCAGTCTACACAAGATACGTAAGTGTGTCACATGTAGTTTTAAAAAAATATTTGTCAAAATTGATAAAACAGTTAATTTCTTTTACAAAGCTTTGTACTCTTTTAGTGAAAGCAATGTAATTCTTCCAGTGAATTAGTGAGTGATAGTTGAAATTATTTTATTTTTATTTTATTTTATTTTTTGCCAGCCCCGCCCCCCTAGTTGAAATTATTTTAAAAGTTAAATGATTGTTTCCACATGTTTGAGTAATTCTGAGATACAGAAAGAAGAAATTGTGCTTACTTAAGTTGTTTGAATATTATTTCAAAGAGTAAGCCAACACAGATGAGTAGGCAACTTCTTTGTACCTTGGGCAATTTTTTTTTTCTTTTTTTTTTTTTTCTTTTATTTCAGCGTATTATGGGGGTACAGATGTTTAGGTTGCGTATGTTGCCCTTGGTCCCCCCACCTTGGGCAATTTTTATGGCCTTCTACTCGTAAGACCATCTTTTCCCATTTATAATCTCATTCCTTTTTTTCCTCTCCATTGTGTATGCCTCTGTTTCATTTTTGTTTACTTCTACTTTGTTCTCTAGTCCTTCTACTTGCCTTTTACAGTGTATTCCTAGCATTAATTTGGTTAATCTTAACCTGTCATAAGCTCTAATTTTGTTCCACCTATGGGTAATGAGAAATCTCTCCTTTCACTTTAATTTCTAACTGGTTAAGCTTGTCTATTTCCAGTGCTAGAAAATACAAGTATTGATAATCCCTTGTTCTTTGGTATTTAATTCTTTGATGATGAAACAATTAGGTTTGTGGTGTAAATGCTATGATCTTGATAAGTTACTATTCTTCAGTCTAACGCTCTCCCAACTGAGCTATTTCGGCTCCTTGATAACTTACTA